CTAGTGTAATCACAAATGTTCTAATACAATACAAGTTTGGTTAAAGGACATTTTAAATTTTTTGATATAACACGTTTGGTTTAGGGTTGTTGGTGTTTGGATGTCATGTCTGTGTGTGGGGGAGTTAGGCTGTGGGTGGGGTGGGGTGGGGTTATGTGGGCGTGTCATTGGATTTGAATTATAAGATAGTGTTGTGATTTCTCGAAGGCAACTAGCTTTAATGCTTAGAGTTGTGTTGGTGTTTTGATGCCGTGTATTTGGATTAGAATTATAAAGTGATTCCTGGAAGGCAATTAGCAATAATACTTATGTACTGGGTACTTGTAAATATTTCTAATGAGTTGTCAAATTCTCTTTGAACAGGGGAGGTTGGATGGACGAATGGTTAGCGCGTGCGCTTTGTATCATAAGGTCTGTCATTGAGTCAACTGGCGTGGTTTCGAGTCCCTGGTTGTACGTAACAAGGAGTAGGGTCGCCTGTCCAACCTCGTGGGTTTTCTCCTGGTCCTCCGGGTCCTCCCGCCCCCCCCCCCCCACTGCTAAAAACCCCTACGCGCAAGCGAATTATTGAACTAAAATTGAATCATATTTTAGTACCGAAAGGACCTAGTTTGTGTCGAGTGGACGTTAAACCCCATTTCTCTCTCTCTCTCTCTCTCTCTTTGAACAGGATTAGAGAAGATTTGCCCTAATGTCTAAACCCCCTTAGCTAAACATTATCATGTAGTTTTTCTGCAGCAGCATGTACTATACGGCCATCGGATTGTGTAGTTTGTATTCAGTTAAAACATTAAAACTGCCAGGGCCTGTATTCAATTAAAACATTATAAATTCCAGGGTCCACATTATACCTGCCAGGGTCCACACATTATAACTGCCAGGGTCCACATTATAACTGCCAGGGTCTGTATTCAGTTAAAAACTGTTAGGGTATATACACATTTTAAACTTTATAAATATATGAGATTAAATTCAGTCACATAAGAGGATATAATTTGTAAAACCAGTAAAAAGGAACTAATTTGAGCTCATAATGAAATCATTTCGTTTAATTGGTCATGAAATTATTTCCTTATCTGATAAAGTAACAGGATTAGTGTTAAATATAATCTAACGATATAGAACCGTGATTGAATGAATAAAACCCAGAATGTTTCTAATGACGGTATAATATCGACACAGTCAGCAGTAATAAAACACAAGAAATATTGACTAACTCTTTCAGTTGTAAAGTTATTGACTGACGTCTAGCTTATTGATTACCGTGACATATTCACGTAATCACCTAAACACGATTAATCCAAGGCGGGGATAGAAAGGGTTATAATAACTCGATATATACGTTTATCTCGAGCAATATAAGTCCTTTTAGTTTGAATTATTTCAATTTGTGTAACAAAATGACGTTAATTGAGCGTACAATATATATTTTATGATAATTTTTTATAAATTAACCGAAGCAAATATTTCCCCGATCTCCAAGTTCTAAAAGGTTTCGTACGCCTTAAGGACCATTTTCTGTTCAAAGCTTATTATTGTTGTTGGGTGTATGTATACCAACTGACCCTATTCAATGTGACTTCTAACAGAATCTATTGAAACTTCGTCCTTTGTAATTTTATATGATCATATACTATGTATAATATAACAATATTATGAACATGTTTTGTTGATTTAAAATAGATTTCCACTTATTTAACCCAATTGCTTATATGTATTGTCTGTAATAGTGCATTTATGAATTTCGCACCCCACACAATACTGCCAACCCCGCGATTCACGTTCAAATACTAAACAGGGGAGTTCTACAAAATAGATCTATTTTCAAATCAAGTATGGATAGCGTTTGATCTCCCGTTATAGTGAATAAATATCTTTATATAAAAATTGAAACGGGGCCCGGTCGTAAGCTGTACAGTACCGAGTCTGCAATGATCACTTTACGTAAAATGTAAAACAAACTTCAAATAACGGAAGAAACGATATAACATGGGGTTTAACGACCTACTGTTTTGTACCAACCGGGATAATAAAATGAAATAGGGTTTAACGTCCTACTGTTCTTCTCCGACTGGGCTAATGAAATAGGGTTTAACGTCCTACTGGGCTAATGAAGAAGGGTCGGGATAATGAAGACTGTGACGCGCTACAGTAGGTGTGTTATATAAAATTTACCTAGACAGCGTTGTTTATGGTTACTTGCCGTGGACGCCAACGTGTGTACAAGGGAACTCGGTTTTTCGTGCCATCCGAACGACTATACACTTGTCGTGGATCCAAGAAGCAAACACAAAACTGGAAATATGAGCGTTTAATAAAGATTTTAAATCAATTTAACGTCCACTCGACACAAACTGGGTCATTTCGGGACTAACATAAAAATATGGTTCAATTTTATTTCAATCATCCGCTTGCGCGTAGCGGTCTTTAGCAGTGGGGGAAACCGGAGGACCCGGAGAAAACCCACGAGGTTGGTCAGGCGACTCTACTCCTTGTCACATGCAACCGGGAATTGAAACCACGCCAGTTGACTCAATGACAGACCTTATGATACAACGCGCAGGTGCTAACCATTCGGCCATCCACCCCCTTAAATCCAGTTGACACAAGGCTATAAGAGTAAATAAGACTGTTGCACACATCAAAATGCATCTCACTGAGTTGTTTTCAGCGTCTATTAGTTTTCTGTAATTGTATTTTCATGTTGGCTAAACTTTCAATTATGAATTATAGATTAAACCCACGCTTTTTCTCGAGATACACAATTATGTAATTTCCGGTGTTGATTTATTGATGGGAAAATACGCACTTGACAAACACAAAACAAAACATTTTCTGCATGTCATATTTTTCACTTATCAGACCAATTTCTGTATGCTGAATATAAGAACACTATTTGTTAGAAAGTGAAGTGAAATGTTGTGCAATCACCCGGATATTGAAAACTGATTTGTCGTCTCAACAAGTTTTACAACCCCCGCCCTCCGTCATTTATGGGGAGCCGGACTGGAACGATCTGCCTTGATGTGTCATTGGCTAGAATATTTGATCACGCCAGATCCTACAGATACGAATTGAAATGAAATTGGCTCTGACAGGGCTAATGAAGACGTGCATACATCATACAGTGTGTGACATTTTGCCCTGGCAGCGGCACTACGACCTACTCTTATATCGAATTCCATTTGTCAGGGGCTCTTTTGTGTGCACGCCAATGTGTACACGAGACGTCAGTTTTTATACCATCCAAACGACTAGACACTGTTCTTGTCAGGCCTTCTCTCCTGCACCACTGACAATGGGAAGCCACTTTGGAAAATCTAGAGGAACTTTCTCGGCCAACACCGGAAGCGAACGTCTTTATTAGCTCAGTCATAAGGCCTGTCATTGAGTCAACTGACGTGGTTTCGAATCCCGGGTTGTACGTGACAAGGAGTAGGATCGCCTGTCCAACATCGTGGGTTTTCTCCCACTGTTAAAGACCCCTACGCGCAAGCAAATTTTTGAAATAAAATTAAACCATATGTTAGTCCCGAAATGACCTGGTTTGTGTCGAGTGGATGTTACCCCCCCCCCCCATCTCTCTCTCTCATTAGCTCAGTTGATACGCGCCTTCTCTTTCATCCATGTGCTAGATATATTTAACCTATAGGATATCACATCACATATAATTAAACAAAAGCTGTTTAAAAGAATGTTTTTAAAACATCTGTTACCTAACAGCAGTCTCATGTTAAATTTTTAAAACATTTGTTGCCTAACAGCAGTCTCATGTTAAGTAAACGAGAACAGATGTAGTAGAACTTGTTCACCGGAGAAAATAATTATACGTATACCTTGATCAACGGAGAAAATAATTTCAATGAAGTAGATAACATTCACTGAAAATAATATGTGGAGATTTTAATATAAAAAAAAGATAAATGGAGGTTTTAATATAAAAAAAAGATACAGAAAGCATTGTATGTAACTAATGATATTTGTTTGACGTATAAAAAGTAACAACAAAAAGCAACCCAACACAAACTTCGGAATACAGAGTTTTTTTATTTACTTTAATGTGAGCCTATCTGAAAACGACACTGTCATTTTTAGATTAAATCATTAAATGTACGAAGCGTTCTAATCTACTTAAATTTGGAAGCATCTGATGGCATCGAGTCTTGAATATGATCTTATTTTGTTAATAAGTATTAAAATAATAGTTTATCTAACATTTGAAGCGACAATGTAAATACACCATTCCGCTATATTTTAGCGTTTTAATTACATGCGTACACGAACTTTTATTTCTGAGACTGCTGAAATCGGGATGGTACCTTTAAGTCCTGACATTTTGACAAAAATGACTGCGTCGTCTTCACATAGGGTCACATTGTGGAAAACGTATCACGTATATTGAGTTAGTTGCTCGGTCCTAAGGTAGAGGATATGGGGGCTTTTAACACAAAGTTTTATTCTCCAAAATATGTGCCGAAATATGTGCCGAAAGGACCTAATTTGTGTCGAGTAGACGTTAAACCCCACCCCACGCCACCCTCTCTCATAGCACTCTGTATGGCGTTAGCATTAGGAGCAGATCAGTAGGGCGTTAAAATCCATTTTATTTCATCTCTCCCTCTCCCTCTCTCTCTCCGTTCTTCTATTGCTATCCCCTGCTTTCTATCTCCATGCTTCGCTCACTATCTCTATCTTCCCCTACTTCGAGTTCTATCTTGGGTCTCATCGTGTGTTTGAAGTACATGTTTATAATTCATCTTTTAGAATATTTCTCGAGATGTTGTTAACAAATCCTCTATCAAACCATTAACACATTAATCATTGGTGATCATATTCATGTCATTAGCCCTCGTCTTGGCTACTAGATATATATCTAGTCATAGATCGTATCATATACATACATATTATATATACACACACATATACACTCACACGGCAAACTAAAATGATTCGCATGGATGGTGTTTGTCAAAGCTTTTAACAAAGAGCAGAGACCGGTTTTTCACATACACACAGAAGTTGTTATTGAATAGCACGAGAAATATCGTGGGCTGACTATGAATGCCATTATGAGATATGTATTCATTGATTTCTGTTCATATACTCTTAGATAGGAGACGAAACTAGACGTATTAACTATTAGGCCTAGGTGGAAGGCTTTACTTTCCAAGATGGCGAACATTAAAGCCGAGCGAAAAGTGATATTTTCGGGAATATGGCGCTCGTCCCCGAGTGCTGATGTGGATCGGCAGTTAAGGATTATAGGGGAGGAATTTCAAAAGAAGCCTGGATTGCCTGCGTCGTTACAATTGACATCTAACGGTGTGGAGTTACATATTATAAGTGACAATGGACTAGCAGGTAAAAATAAAATCGTCGATATGTGTGATATTTTTGATGTAACGGTAAACAAGTATCATCCACTGTGTTTAATGGTAGTGTATGCTGACTCGAAACGTGTATACAATTTTATGGTGTGTTTGTGCGAAAGGGAAGGGGATGGCGTAGAATTGTCTAAAAGTTTTAGAGATTGTAAAAATGCTTTAAATAAACCGAACTGGGTTTTAAAACCCAAATCAATGTCGAACAATAACGAAGGCGAATCCGCGAGCATAACATCGAGAGAAAAGGGTGACGGTGCTGAACATGATGAAGCTGGAGCAGTAAAAATAAGTGACAACGATCAGGAGGACGTACTGGTCACGAGTATCGATTCCTCGGGATTTCATTCCGTCACAATTCCAGATGACGTTTCCAGGGACGATGAAGAAGATCAGTCTAAAGCATCCAGCAGTAGACATGCGGATTTTGACGGAGATTCGTTAGTGTCCATTGAATCTTATAATTCTATGAAGGACGACTTACTGGCTTTGTCCCAAGAGGTACGAAATATCAAACTATTACTGCAACAACAAGGAATTGATCCAGAAATTCTCAAACAGCGGGGAGCTCATTATAATGGCGACGGCCAGACATCCCCTACTAGTCCTAAATCAAATGGCGCTGATCGTAAAGTAAATTTTGCCGTGGGACAGGAAAGTCAAAGGAAGCCTCACTACGTTAAAAACCCTAACGCTCCAGGGTCTACCTTGACGAAGGGGAGCAAGGGTCCGGTTAAACCCCATTACTACCGAACAAGTTCCTCGGGAGCCAGTGGCAATTCTGTATCCCCGGGATTTACAGGCGCCAATGACGTTTTCGACTTCCCTGCTTCAGCCTCAGCTAACCCATCATCAGGGGTAGGATACGTATCCCAATCCCAACGAAAGGGATCGCAATCCGGCCTCACCACAACAGTACAAAGACCCATCGAACGAGTCTACACTCTACAACCCCGACAGTCTCATTCTACCAGACGTAAAATAATTGTTCATCCCGGTCAGTCGTCAACGTTACCAGCCATGAGAGGACACACCGACACGGGGAAACCACTAACGCCCATACTTAAAAACGGCCACCCATGACAGAAGCAACAAATCGGATCTGTATAATACTCCCATATATTGCCTCAGCTTTGATTCAAGACTTTTAAAATCAAACTTTTAAGAATGTCTGCACAGTGAGAAAGATGTCTTACTGTAAAATGCATTTGGAGCGTCTGCAATATTATCTAAAACTTATGTTTATTTTGAATCTCCGCCATTCGTGTGGTTGTGCTTAACATGCCAAGGTTTCACTACTGGATTAATTTCGAAAGGATTACTATTATCAATTTCTATTGCTATAAAACTAAGTTACACAAGGAAGGGAGTATAATGTCAATACGACACACTCAGCCAGCTCAATATGGATGGGTTTAACTTTGCTTTCAAGCAGGCGAATATCAAAAATTCATTTGAAGGAAGAATTCGATATAAAAATTTGTAAACGCCGTTGGGAATTATTACTATTCCATTTGATGGCAATTCGGTACCTGGATGTATTTTGATTCAGTGGTGTGTTTTGAATTAAATACCCAAAATAGTGCTGTGGTTGGAACTGAGCTCCCATGATCTCCTGTAGCACGAATTTAATTTAAATATTATATACCACTGCATACCCAATGCTTTTGGCCATGTTAACTAGACGCTTTGTTTTTACCTACTTTCAATTTTATATGGGACTCTATATTTTATATGGGACTCTATATTTTTCAACACAAAATATACCAGAATCTCTCTCAAAACCAGTAAACACATTAACACTATTACGCCTTTCAAAAAGGGTGTTCAAACAAGACCACTCCTGAATAAACACAACTGTTTAATTATTAAATATTCATAGCTGTGAAACATGTGTGATAATTGTTTAGTTATAAGTAGGTGCGCTGTGGTTGATTTTAGCATCTATGGAAATTGAAAAACTTTTTTTTGTCATTGTAAAACGTTCGTCTATTTCAGTTCGCACTTTGTTGAAAGTATAATCACTGTTCGATAATAATTGGATTATGCCATACTTTTCTGCGGATGTGCGTTGTATTTTGGAACACTGGACTACTTGTATAAGACTATAAGGATTTTTATATATAATAATCGAATATATATATATATATATCGTTACTCTGTATATTATGTAAATATAGAAACTCATCACTAATGGCGTCTGGATATTAATAGGAGGAGAAGGTGTACAGAGAAAATAAGACTTTATAAATAAGTTATATATATACTAACATGTGCCTAGACATATTAATACATGATATTTTATTGATAGTTCTATGGTCAATCATTTATAACCCTACTATCCCCTGCATCAACTTCATCTATAGTTTAAGTTTGTTATATTTAATATAGGTAGCATATCTACAACAGATATATTTAATGGGTTAGGGTTAGGGTTAGCTTTAAGAATTTGGGGGAGAGGTCAAGTCTCCACATAAGCACTAACCTAGGATGATGTAAATTTGGTTCGTGATATTTCCTAGTTTTATTAAAAATAAATGTAATACATTAGATTAATATACAAAGTTGGTTTCACTGTTTTTGGTGTTGGTGGCGCTGATGGTCATGTGACATAAATATTTTAATACTGACAATATCCAATGATATCATAAATGTTAAAAAATATTATAAAACAGAAAAAATATTATGAACCCCAACATAACAAATAGTATGTGATATTAATATCATATTATAATACGAAAATATCATATTAATATTAGTATTATAATATTAAATAGTATGTAATATTAATATCATATTACAATACCAAAATATCAAATAGTATTTGATATTAATAGTATTATACCAACATATCAAATAGTATGTGATATTAATATTATAATACCAAAATATCAAATAGTAATTGATATTAATATTATAATACCAAAATATCAAATAGTATGTCGTGATATTAATATTATAATATTATGATACCAAAATGTCAAATAGTATGTGATATTAATATCATCACAAATATTAAAATAATTATACTACCGAAAATATTTATGAATGTGGACTTTTTATGTTAAGGCAAAAAAATTGCCAAACAATTTTAATCCAACGAATACAAAGCTTGTAACAAAATCCTTAAAATACGTTATGTAAGATTTAGATAAAGAGCTGTCCGTTCTTGCTATAATATATTAAAGCTACGTTATGGTTATATAACCTTTAGATACATAACTGAACGTTCTTGCTATAATATATTAAAGCTACGTTATGGTTATATAACCTTTAGATACATAGCTGACCGTTCTTGCTATAATATATTAAAGCTACGTTATGGTTATATAACCTTTAGATACATAGCTGAACGTTCTTACTATAATATATTAAAGCTGCGTTATTGTTATATAACCTTTAGATACATAGCTGACCGTTCTTGCTATAATATATTAAAGCTACGTTATGGTTATATAACCTTTAGATACATAGCTGACCGTTCTTGCTATAATAGTTTAAGATGTAGATACAGGGCTGGCCGTTCTTGCTATAGTAGTTTAAAAATAGATAATGAAAAATGATATTGGAAATTTCATTCACTTTACTTTATTCTGAGGGCGAAGATATGACTGTTTGAAGATGAAGCGTAGATTGACAACCGAGGCTAATCCAGTTTATAATTCATTTTTAAATCTGGCAGGCAGGTGTTTTAGTCCATTTAAATCTCAGCTACCCGTTGATCTAGCGAATTGTTATGTGAATAAATGTCTAAATAATAGTTTATTATATAATGTCTCAAGCCAGAAAAACGATCTGAAATGATCAGATTTAGTTCTTACATAATGCATCCCAAGGATCTATTGTTTGAATATTGTTTAAATCAAATGGATTTATAACTATTCTTATGGGGCATTAACTGGCGTGGTTTCGAATCCCCGGTTGTACGTGACAAGGAATAGGGTCGCCTGCCCAACCTCGTGGGTTTTCTCCGGGTCCTCCGGTTTCCTCCCACTGCTAAAGACCCTACGCGCAAGCGAATTATTGAAATAAAATTAAACCATATGTTAGTTCCGAAATGACATAGTTTTTTTTTTCTCTCTCTCTCTCTCTCTTATGAGGCACATGTAAATATTTTTTATTATATGTCTCAATTATGTAACTTCGCCTTTTTATATAATTTAGTGGCCAGTAAAAATGTTTTCAATATTATATCGAAGTATACGTAATATATAACGACGCGTTATTATCATCCGATTTTAAAGTCACAAAGTGTTGATCAAGACATTAACTGAATACAAGCACCATATAGAGAGAGAGAGAGAGAGAGAGAGAGAGAGAGAGAAATGGGGTTTAACGTCCACTCGACACAAACTAGGTCATTTCGGGACTAACATATTTTTTTTTAATTTCATTTCAATAATTCGCTTGCGCGTAGGGGTCTTTAGCAGTGGGAGGAAACCGGAGGACTCGGAAAAAACCCACTAGGTTGGACAGGCGACTCTACTCCTTGTCACGTACAACCGGGGATTCGAAACCACGCCAGTTGACTCAATGACAGACTTTATGATACAGCGCGCTCACGCTAACCATTCAGCCATCCAACCCCCCTAAGCACCATATAAAGTTTAAGCCTATAAAATGTAAATGGCCTCTTAGTGCTTATTTAGGCAATATGTAAACTTTATGTTTATATTCCCACTAAATGTCACAATAACTCACATTAAAGAGAGCAGCCCACCACGTGGTTATAAATATATCAAACGTTACCAATATACAAGTCTAGAAATAAGCCACGTGTCACTTTTGTTACGATGGTCACGTGTCTAAATTGGTAGTCTAGGAATCAATATCCCTGAAATTCGGAATTCGAAGACGAGAAGGCAAAAAAGCATGAATTCTTGTGATCTCTGTTACTTGTCCGGTATTTGCATTGTTATGGTATTTTTATTGATATTTCTATAAAGTTAAGAATGGTAGATGGAAATTATATCGATATTACCATGACTGTTTAAATACGTGTTAGATGCCGTGTTATTATCGATATTACACGGAATCAATCTCATTAAAATACACATCTATGTTTCGTTTCGTTTTTTATACTTTCAAAGGCCTACACTGCATGAAGATCTGACCGGTTGTAGTGGGAGGTCGCGTCAGGGGTCATATGAACGTCAGACATTGATTAACATTGACGTTTCTAGTGGTTTACCCACAGTTCCGTGGACAACACGCCATGAACTCGCCTGTTATCAAGCAGAACGCCTGTTATATAAAAACTCTTCCAGATCCTAGTTTTGTGAAGACAAGTAGAACGAAATGTTGAACTATAAAAAACAAACGAAATAGGATCCGTGTTTTCGTCAGATTGACAAGAGAAATGCAATAATTTGGCTGTTGTGTATTTCAAATTCTGTCAGTCTTTTTCTATTAATTATATCCGTGTATCAAAGGTCTGTTTTAAAAAAAACGGGCTGTCACATATCGTACTGTTTTATTAATTAGTTTACCGTTAATGCATACACACTGCACCGTGAAAATGTCCGATCTGCGTAACCTTTAAACTTATCTAAATTTTGATTCCATTAACATATTTATGTACTGAGCACAGCTACTTGGTATTTTTATAACTATGTTGGTTTGGATTCACCAATTAGTGTTTAAATCCAACTTGGTTATAGTCACATATCAGTTTTTAGATCACGTTACATTAATTTTCTACATTGACTATAGTCACTATTTGGTTTTAAGTCACACGTATTTAGGTCACGCATGGTTATATTCACTATCGAATGTTTATATTATAACATTTAGTTATATTCACTATCGAATGTTTATATTATAACAGTTTGTTATATTCACTATGGAGTGTTTATATTATAACATTTAGTTATATTCACTATCGAATGTTTATATTATAACACTTGGTTATATTCACTTATGAGTGTTTATATAACACATATATGGTTATATTCACCATCGAATGTTTATATTATAACATTTTGTTATATTCACTATCGAATGTTTATATTATAACATTTTGTTATATTATAACATTTTGTTATATTCACTATCGAATGTTTATATTATAACATATATGGTTATATTCACTATCGAATGTTTATATAACACATATATGGTTATATTCACTATCGGGTGTGTATATTATAACATTTGGTTATATTCACTTATGAGTGTAAATATAACATATTTGTTTGCATTCACTATCGGGTGTGTATATTATAACATTTAGTTATATTCACTTATGAGTGTAAATATAACATATTTGTTTACATTCACTAATGGGGGCCTATAAAACATTCCTGTTATTATAATCACAATTATTCAGTAATAAGTCTCAGCTTGTGTCCGTTGTTTAAAATAAATATGTATAGGTTAGGTGAAAGCGTACAAAAATTCCTAGTAGTAGTTCACGTGTCACCATTATTGTTTATTTCCCCTGTCGGTTTGTCGTATTCGATGTATATCCAATATTTGATTGTTATATCTAGTGTTATATTTACTAAATAGTGCTAATACCATGTATATACGTGCCATGTTGTTATTAAGTGATAGTATACTGTTAACAGCCTAGTTATTATATTTTGTATAAAATAGTTTATTAATGAATAATGATAATACAATGTATATAGGTGATTGTATATAGTACAATATCCAAATAGTCATATAATTGCTATAACGCTATTTTGATAAAGAAGTTATTGCTCTTTGGATGAATAAATTTTTAATATGACCCTGTATTGAAAATGATAAATAAGTTATGACTATAACGCTGTATTGATACATACGTTATTAATATAACGCTGTTTTGATAAATAAGTTATAGCTATAATGCTGTATTGATAAATAAGTCATTAATATAACGCTGTATTGATAAATAAGTTATTCATATAACGCTGTATTGATAAATAAGTTATTAATATAACGCTGCATTGATAAATAAGTTATTCATATAACGCTGTATTGATAAATAAGTCATTAATATAACGCTGTTTCAATAAATAAGTCATTAATATAACGCTGTTTCGATAAATAAGTCATTAATATAACGCTGATTTGATAAATAGGTTATTCATATAACGCTGACATGCCATATAAAATATTATGATTAACGCAATGATAAAATTTCTAATCCTTTTGAATGTTTCAATCAAAAGAAAAATGTGTAATCTTAAGAAATATGTTAATTCTCTTGTCTTTGAAAATACAAAAATAGAGATAGGTATTGATTTTGTTTTTTTGGGGGTTTTTTGTCGATCTAAATGATATAAAACACAATTGTTTACAATATAACTCATAAGGAACTCTTGGGTGGTCTTGTGTTTAATAACAAAATGGTCTGATTATATCATGTCATGTATATACTTATTCACCGGGTCGATCAAAAAGATACACGCTTTGTGTCTGGAAATATATTTTAAAAAACCCAATGTAGCGTTTCTATATTTAATATAATTAAATGGAATTTTGTGGCTTTGAGTATTCCATTGCATTTTCAAAGGAACTCCTCAAAACATTCCAGTAAATTAAACTAAACAAAACTACATGCTTTCTCATTCTAGACCACGTCTTACACCTTCTCGTTGTTTTTGGAAGATTTACATAGCTAACCACTTTGGTTCAGGGTGAAAAATTAACGATCGATGTCATTCGAATTCATATTTTGATTTGAAGGAATTTAGGTCGACA